ATAAGCAATTTGTTATATAGTTTAATTTATTAAATTCATTTAATTGATACGCGTCCAAACGGCCATGTAGCCAATATCTTTAAATTCATACAGATATATATAATGTGTATACTTGCTCACATGTGCATATTTGCATTTGAAATCGTTTGTAAAGTTATAAGTTTATTCTAGGCTTTTAAGAAACTCGATAATAATTTTGGCAAATTGGGGTTTATGCGAAAGGGATCGTTCAAGTATTACGTAAGCAGATTTATTACAATTATTACCCCCATCCCCCTTGACAGCAAAAGTAAGCAAAGCTCTTACCCCCTACCCCAATGCTTATGTAAACATTTGCAATTAATGTAAAAAATAAAAATACTATCAATGGCGTAATCATCATCCAGGCTCCCCTGCCCCCCATGTCAACCCAAAATAAGCAAATTAACAACCCCCGCCCCCCTATAGTGCTTACGTAATAACTTGAACGGCCCAAAAACCGAAGAGTATTTTTCGAAAGACCAGTTTTTAACCGGTTTCTACTTTTTATCAAAAATATTTGCCTGAATAATTAGAACAAAAAAATTGGCCGAAAATATCTAGTGATTAAAATTTTGATAATATTTTTATGAATTTAGTAGTAGAACATAAAATAATAATTAGCAGAATTAAATAGCTTTTAAAAATAATTAATTAATCGTTGTTTGTGCATAGTTTTTACATATGATGGGGTAAATATTGTTATAATAGTGTAATGAAGGACAATCGATTTGCCAACGATGTTTTCATCAATCTGGTACATTTTTCATGTTCATTTTTTTTTCGAAAGTGTTGAAAAATGGTATTTTTTACTAAATACCCGGTTTTTGAATTTCAAATTTTTCTCTGGTTTCCAGATCGGTATTTAAAAACTGACAAACCCTAGTGCGAATTGATGATTTTTTATTTTTACATCTGGTACTATATTATCAGAATTTATAAAATATTCTACTGAGTTATTGCCCACTGAACGATTTTATCAAAATAAGTCATATAACGATATTGTAAGGGATGGATTTTATAATATCGATATATCTGTAATAAAAAGAAATTTACAGTTATTAATTAAAACAACTTCCAGAAATGAAACTTACTATCGATTTCATGTTATACTAATTGTGCCAATATTTGTAACTCCATTACATATAATTATTTTATTTTCTCTTATACATTCTACCTAGACCTAAACGTTTGCAATCCATTATATGATAAAATGTATGTATAAGATTTTTATTACTTTCTGTTTTGTACAATATTTTTTTTTTTTTTAAAATTACATATATAATAGAAAATTTTCAGGCCATATCAACGAAAGCAAAACATCAGATTGTTTTTGAAAAGCGAATATTTGATTTAGAATCTTTTACATAAAAAATAACGGCTTACGTTTTGCCTGTCATACTTTATAATAATAAAGTAATATATATTTTATATTTCATAAAACTATAATTATTACAATGACATTTATTTTCACAGGCCACTTTTGAGAAACTTGAAAATGAACTACGTGAAGAAGTAAACCGTAATGCTGAAACCTTGAAAAGAAATTTTTTAGAACTAACTGAACTCAAAACACATATTGCGCAAAACTCAAGTTTTCTTCGATGAGGTGAGATTATATTCGAGATATAAAATAAATAATTTTTGTTTTCTTGTTTTAACTTGTGCAGCTTTAACATAATTCATAAGAAACATCGTGAAAATTCGTTACGTCACTTTGTAGTAAATTGTAGAAATTGAATGATTCAGTTGCGGATAATAGGAGAAATTACCAATTATCATCGAGAATGCGTTTGTTTTTGTCATTTATTCTTCATTGCTTCAATGTTGATAATGCATTTCAATTGCCATCAATTGCTATTTACACGTCGTTGAATCAGCGTTTGATATGTCTCCTAACATCACCATAATTCCACAACCATAGATTTTTATCTGAATTCTGATCAAATTCACTTAATTCGGAGAGCAATTAATGACTTACATTTTCCAAATAAATTTTCAAATACTAGTTGATTTCGTACTTCTTTTAAAACAATAATAATGTTATAAGATGATCTATAATTTCTATAAGTTATGTACAAGCTTTGAAACATAAAAAAAATCCAGAAAAGATTGAATTATTTAGAAATACGCCTTTATTAACAGTGACGTAATGTTTTGATCGATTTAAAATTTTCATTTTAATTAAGCTTGCCATTTGAAGCGATTAATATAGCTTTTATCATTCATATTCACTCTTTTATTGCTCAATCGTCATTGTTGTGGATAGGTCATTTGTTGCTTTTTAATATATCATCCTTTTAACTACAATCATATTGGATGTTGACTTAAAATAAACTATTGCGAGATTAGAATGGTTTAAGTTAATATTTTTGCACCTCAGTTTTAATATTTATACCCAAAGTCATATTTTGAAATGGCATGCATCGCGGGGTGAGAGATTTGTTAATATATATAATAATGAATAAAAATCAATAACGCAGCTCACTTAAATTTAAATTAAATTTTATTGGTTCATCATAAAATATCTGTGAAGAAAAACTTGATATAGCAGTTTTTTAAATCAGTGAAATAAACCACTTGTTCGAATATTATAATTAAAAATCGGTGGAGGTTATTTAAATGCTTTGGAATATATTTGAATTTTACCATAAAAGTTATTACAGAAATGTCAGATAGCTATTATGGATTTAATAAAACTATTAAAGAATGGTAATGTGAAGAATGCTGAGTTATTAAATTAAAAAGATTGACTTGGCATTTTGAAAGATAAAACATTATTTTGAGTAATGCAAAAAATTAACTAAAAAAATGTTTTATCTTGCTCGCAAATCATTATTACGTTAGCCTGGAAACAACCGCACGATAAAATCGAGTAAACATTAATTAATCAAATTTGTGATTTATTGAAATTTTCAATTTAATAAGAAATGCTCGAAAATTCAGTCCATTAATCCTTTCCCATAAATCTTTTGCACACTCGTTTTGTTTTTGTTTGATCCTACTTCTAACTTATCCGATGGATTCCTCAATTTGAGTGCACTAATTCTTGTTCTAGTAGGGTTGTTATTTCAATTTTTTTAGTTTCTGTTCTACAAGATTCAAATAATATCTTACACGTCGATAATTATGTTACAATTTGAAAAATGGCTTCTAAATTACTTCGAAATTGAAATTTCAGCCCTTATCTGCTTTATTTAAACTTTCTTAACTCTGCACGTTGCTTGCTCTTGCATTCATGTTATCATTCTTTCACCACTTAATTGTACTTTGTTAAATATATGAAATTATTAAATGTTTACGTGCTATTAATTATAAATTACGAAATAAATCAATTTAAAATGGTTCATTTTTTGCACACAAAGGCGACATCCATTAAGTACACAACAATAAAAGGGTATAGTTTTTCATAATATTTTGCACACTATTATAATATATAATTTTGTGTAAAATATATGTAAATAATAAAATATATACACAATATCGTCTTATTCAACAAAGTAATAGTTTTTTTTTTCTTTCCTTTACTTTACAAAATTTATGAAAAGCATAATTTAAAAACGTTCTGCAACTTTGTGCTTTGTATCTTTCATCACTTCATCAAGAAAACATTTTGCTTATTGATGAAAATTTGTTTTATCTGAATTTTTTTGTTTAATAAAATGGCTTTTTAGAACTGCTTCAATGACTGACGATATGCGACCGATGAGGGATGTAATTCTAAATTCTAAATTAAACGTGTTTAATGGATGTCCTTCGCTTATTGTTTTATTGTTGGTCAATTCCATATTACAGAAAATAAATTCCGATTGGGTAATACAATTTAATCATAATTATCTTCTCCAAACACGTTTTTCTTTGCAGCATTTATAAATTGCTGCATTTAAGAACTTCTTGTATTTCTGCATCAAAAGGCCCTTGAAATAAAGATATAAAATAATGCGATAAAGCTAAATTAGAAAAGGGTTGAATTTGATGGTAAAAATAAATATTAAATGTTAATTTAGACGTATCGTTACCTAGATATATGATCAACCATAATCAGGAAAGATTTGTGTAGTTTTCGCTTGTCTTCAGTTTCACGCATTACTAATGATTTAATGAAATTTTAGTATATTTTATCATCGCGTCTTGCCCGGGTTTCTAAATCCAACTTTGCTCTTGTTTTATCCGAAACGAAATTCTTTATTCCTTGGGCCTGATTATTAGAACAAAATTGTTATCGCATGTTTATAATGTTAAATCGTAGATCTATAATTAAAATATTGTTTCTATAATTTTTAGATTTTTATGTAGATCGAGAACAACAATGAATAGTGCCCCTCATTGTTGTTCAAAAAATATTTTTATATACTAGTAGCATTGGATAGAATTAGATGATTTCATTGAAAAGCATAATGGGACATGTGATACGTTTATATTTCAGTATTTTTATAAAATTCTATGCAAAGAATTAGTGCCAAGCTTTTTTTAGATCACCCTGCTGATTCAGTTTTCTTAAATTTTCTTTTGGTTTCTGGTTTTTGGTTTACAGCGCATTAATACTTTTATTTCTAATGTTTGGATTTATAAGCTTTTTGCATTTTAATATTATTATCCCCTTAACATATATGCTGTTATTTATTTTTTTCCTTCATCAGAGTCAATATTTATCGTTCTGTTTTCCAAATATCTTTCTTTTTTTAATTTAAAACATAAGTTTTGAAGAATCTTATAACTCACACAAAATCTTTTTTTGAATATATTTTTACAGCTGTGCTTACAGCTTAAAATAGTTGGAAATGGATGTGAAAAATAATTGATTGATGAGAATAGCAAGTTTTTTACTACTAGAGTGGTGAAGATTTTTGGAAAGCACTATGATTCATAATTTTTGTTCTTCTGATTATACCGCAAATTCTACGAAAACACTCGAGGATTTTCTCAATTGAAGAATTTTTCAATGGAAACGAATTGAAGCGTAGGGTAAATAGGGACGTTTTAATTTTCTGGGGCCAAATGTTGGAAATTTAAATATCAGTTAGAAATCGGTTCCGCGCTTGTCGTGCGTTGTGTGTTGCCAGGCTGAGGTAGGCTACCATCGTTCCTCGCAGATGGCTGATCCGTCCAGGGAGGAAGAACAAGTCAATCTCCTGGGAGAAGAAGGCCTTCGTACGGGCGGACAGGCACTCAAACTTGGGTAAATAGAATATTGTTAGGCTGCTAAGACCAGTGGTCAGGTTTGATCGTGAAAACATTTTTTTTAGTTGCAAATTATATTCGAATTATCTAATTAAATTTTTAGTTAGATTTTTTTTAGTCGTTCGAAAGTTATAAATGGGATAAAGATCAATTTTTTAAAAAAATCTTATACTACCTTAAGATTTTTTACCTGTATGATTGATCTTATATATTTAATTCAATGTGTGTGTACTGCGCCTGACCTATGGTTTTACATTTCTGAACTATGTACCCAACGGATGCGAGCTTTTCAAAATTAGGTGAAGCAATTTGATGTAAGGTTTAGATTATATTAATTCAATAAACCTTTATCATTAAAGTGTGTTGGATTTCCCCAGAAAGTGAATGGAATTATAAATTTCAGAATATCGGTTAATCGCGGATTTGTTTTTTATTACAGAGATCTTACACTGATCACGATGACAAATATAGAAGTCCTCTCAGGCAAGATTATTAACGAATTTTTAAATTGATTTTTTTTACTAATCATATCTAAACCAAAATGCAATTAGATTGGCAATATATATATATATATATATATATATATATTAATAATATTGTGTTTACTTCTGGTCTTATTTTCGATTATGTCAATTACTGGAATTTTGAAATGAGTGATTAATCAAATTCCTACTTGTAAAGTTTGAAATGTCGTTAATAGGACTACGACCTTTCTTGAAATGATCAAATTTCCAAATGATTTAAATTAATTATTTTATTACGTTTTTGTGACTGGATTTGTGGATTTTTTTGTTTTTTAGCAAAAGTTTGCATTCTCATACAGACAATTAACGTCTTTACAAACTTAAATTTTCATAAGAAATATTTGACAAATAACCAATGTACAGCTTTTTAGATATATAACACGATGCAGAATTTCATTGCCATAAACATGATAGACAAAATTGCGGTTAAGACTATATATATGCATGCGATGTAGTTTTAAAATGGTAAATGGATTTGGATAATTTTTGCATGCGGTTACGATGCACTGATTCATTCCTTTCATATCATTTTCCATTAACACCATATAACATGTCTACAATCACCTATCTAATGTAAATTAAACATTGAATTAACTTCCATTAAATTTTTCTGCATTAAAAAATATTACTTCAATTTGGCTTACGTTGCTGCGACAATGTTCAACTTTGTTTTTACTTTATATTCTTTTCAACTACTTAAGATTTTAATTTTTTTCTTGAAAATACTTATAAATCAGAATTTTCAATGTAAACTATAATATAGAACTCGAGGGCTTTAGACTTTCCATTCGTTTAAATCATAATTAAAGCAAAAATATTTAGTTTTTCGGCCTGTTTTTAATGAAGAGTCATAGTTCAAATAATTCTTAAAATAAGATTAAAATATTCATTAATTTGAGTTTTTCTAAACTTGAATATTATATTGTATAAGATTCACAGCCATCCTTATGCTATTACTGAAGATTTAAATTTTTGAGTGCGAAATTAATCTGAAAATAAATTTTCACGAAAGTACAATGCTTAATTTAAACGTATAATTAATAAAAAACTATGCTAATCATTGCAATCTTTTTGTTTCTAATTTTCTCTCATTTGTGCTAATGCACTATTTCGGAATTAATTATTGATATAATATTTAATGATCCAATGCCAATATTACCTATCGTTGTGTAAGTCTTTTAGAGTATTAGTATTTGATTTTGTTCCTTGTGTGTAATGTCCCAAAATTTGTTGTCCGGTTGAAATATCTCGTCCAGCACGAAGGGGGCGCTAACCAGACGGAATCGATGACCAGGGCGCTGATCAGCGACGAATCGAGAAATTCTAATGCTGGTCCCGTTCAATTGGGGTACGTAAAATGATTATGGAATTGTGGTAATCGTTTAAATAGTGCTAACAGAATAACATTTTTGAATTCATGTCCCCCATCACACGCATAGATGACTTATTGATAAAATCATTTCTTTGCCAATATCAAACTTGATTACCAAAAATAATATTTTTAATTTAAATAATTTAAATATTTCACAAATTGAAATGCTGCACATTTTGTGATATATTCGAATACCGAGCAAGTTTACATTGAAAAATAAACAACTTCTGTATTTGACTAACATTGACTATTATGAACATCTGGTCCAAATTCTATTACTACAAACGGCATAATTTTATAAAACAGCGGTTTCATATTCTTGGCATTAAAAATGCTAAACCAAAAAGTATTTAAACGATACATCTGAAGGGTAAGTCGTGCGCAGTAAAATAACGAGCAATCAGTAACAATTTGTTTAAAAATCGATCGTTTATTACTTTTACATTCTTGTTACAAATTCATTCACGCTACTTTATCAATAAATTTATGCCGTAAAATATTTGCTCAAAATGAATTATAGCAAACATAAAAAGTCGTTGTTGTGATGGGGAGTGTATGCTTTCACTGCCGTTTGATTTATGAAAGTGTTTTCAGTAAAATTTTTTACTTGCTCTTGTTTCCTGGAAAATCTAAAATAGTCAACTTTCTCAAAATTATATAAATAATTTTTTTTTATTCTGAATTGATCGTAAAATGACTGGGGTAATATTATCAGCTAGTAATCATATAGCTGTAAAAATTATGTAAAATAAGATTAAAATTATCTTGAAATTGTTACCTTATATTTAACGTAAATTTATTTTATTTTTTATTTTAATATTTTTAACTTTTATAACTATACACGTTCTACTGAAGATGCTTATGCAAATTGCGCTTTTGGCTAATATCTTAACCGTATTTATCATTACTAACGTAGAAATTTTAAATAACAAATTTGAGATAATCAGGATTGTTTATATGTTGGTAATAATATAAACTTTTGATATTTTGTATGATAAATCTAACAGATTAACATTTTAATTTTGTATCACAACTGGAAATAATTTCTCACTTATATTTATTTCATTATGTACTTCTGAATTCTATATGCTTGAATGTATGTGTTTATAAATATATATATATATATATATATATATATATATATTCCTGCTTTTAATTAATATTAAAAATGACGTTTTTTTTAATATTCTATGCAGTTTTCTGGAAAAACCGCGCGAACCAGAAGAATTCTTCCCATGGTCAGTAATAAATTTTTAAAGAATAATTGTCGTGCACGAATCATTACATTTTCATAAGCATTTGAAATCATTTGTCGACATTTTTTTAATTTGTTTTCAATATATTTACTGTCATTCGGAACTTCACATTAAAAATTACTGCATAATAATGACGAATATAAAGGTTTCTAGAATGTAATAATTAATTTTTGTGTAGAATTTTTTATGCTCATTATTTGTGGCAACACATATTTAAGGAGTGTTAAATTGCAAGGTAAGTTGTAAATAAAATTTTGTATATTTAATTACATGTTCTAATAAGGTTTGTACATTGGTTATTTGGTCAACTTGCTTTGAAGAAGCATTAACGAAATCCCAAACCGTAATTATCCTAAACCACGCTTGCCAAGAGACGTACGTGTTATCTAACAATGTATCCCAATTAAAATCACAAGATTCTGAAAGAAAACATTATTGTTTATTGACTGAATAATTTATTATATAAAAATGAAAAAAGTATTGCTTCATTCATTTTACATCAATTAGCATTCCTGGTCAAAAATTGTCGTTAAATTTTTGGAAGCAAAATTATTTTCGTTCCATTTTTTATAATTTTAACTAAGAACATCGTTTGATTTAGAAAAGCATGTTTCGCAAAAGTTGGGTGCACTCAAACTATGTCGATTTTATTTCGATCGTCGAATAACATAAATTAAGCTTTATTTTTTGTATAACTTTTATTATGCATGGTGTTGCAATATTGTGTTAACTCAGTTTTAATTTTCACTAGATTTTAATGAAGTCTTTATTCTTAATTATCCTTTTAACACGATTTATTCGACGAATGAAAATTTTTTTCGCACAGTATGAATTAAATGAAATCATAAAACACAAACAAAATTTATTTTTGTGAGGTTCGACTGTTCGAAAACATACGAATGTATATAATTATTAACGATATTTAGCTTCGTGGCTGGCGTCATACTTCGAGAAAGGATTCCGGCGTTCGAGCGCATGCTGTGGAGGGCTTGTCGAGGCAATGTATTTCTCAGGCAAGCTGAGATTGAAACTCCTTTGGAAGATCCTACAACGGTAAAATTTAGTAGCAATTTTTTTTAACAATTTGTTAGTTACTTTTTACATTGAATATTTCATCTGCAATAATTTTAATATTTTTATTCAATTCATCACCTTGTTGGTATTAAAAATATTGTTTAACTAATTTGTTCTATGGTTTTTAGAGTGATCAAGTATTCAAATCCGTATTCATCATATTCTTCCAAGGAGATCAACTTAAAACACGTGTCAAAAAAATTTGTGAGGGTTTTAGAGCTACATTGTATCCATGCCCGGAAGCACCCTCAGACAGGCGAGAAATGGCTATGGGAGTCATGACTAGAATAGAAGATCTTAACACGGTTAGTAAGATATTCTTAAAAAAAATATTTTAATTTGGCATTAAATGACCATTGGTCATATATTTCTAGTATAACGAGTTATTACATTTCTCCCCAATTCCTTTGATTTAAGATTTTTAATTTCCCGAAAGAGAATTGCTAATTTTGCGTTTTATCGACTTTTCGAATTATTCTGAATCGTTTGAGATCAAAATTAGAAAAAACAGGCGTGTATAATCTACCACAGTGATTTTCAAAGTGGTCTATATGGATCCCCAGGGATTGACACCAACTTTCAAGGGGTCCACGGCGGCGAAAGCAAAATTTGGGGGTCCACAAATGGAAATGGGGGTCCACGGCAGTGTATTACAATATACCATGTTAAAATCTATTTATTTACGTTAAACGATAATATAATATATATACAGACTTATAATACATTTTCTAATATAGTTTCTGATATAGTATAGTAATGAATCAAAAAGTAAAGATAGGGGATCCATAACAAAACGAAAAACATCGCAAGGGGTCCACGGCACAAATAAGTTTGGGAACCTATGCTCTATAACGATTACACAGCTGATACTAAATTTATAGAAAAAGAGAACAATTTGTTGCAGCGGAAGGTGTTTATAATCTGTATATCGACAGTCTATAATCTTATATTTAATTAATGATTGCAAACTGATTAATGCAATGCAATAGTCTGTTAATTTTTGCAGTTTACGATTTAGTAAGTTGATTACTATTTTCAGGTATTAGGACAAACTCAAGATCACAGGCATCGTGTGCTGGTCGCCGCTGCTAAGAACATTATGAATTGGTTTATTAAAGTTCGAAAAATTAAAGCTATTTATCATACACTGAATTTGTTCAATTTGGACGTAACACAAAAATGTTTGATTGCTGAATGCTGGGTACCTGTGCTTGATTTGGAAACAATTCAATTAGCACTTAGGAGAGGAACGGTTAGTGTGTAGATGTATCTATTTTTAAAAAATTATTTGACCTGAAAAATAATTGCATTGTTGATATTTTCAATATTTTGCATGAACATTCTCAATAAATATAATCATTATATGAGAATAGAGTTTTATCTAAGCATTTACATAAGATTTTCTTTGAATGGTTTTTAATTCATTTGTGTAATAAAGGAACGTAGTGGCAGTTCTGTACCTCCTATTCTAAACAGAATGGAAACACATGAGGATCCTCCGACTTACAATCGTACAAATAAATTTACTAGCGGATTTCAAGCACTCATTGATGCTTATGGTATTGCATCATACAGAGAAGCAAATCCCAGTAAGTAATATTTTTTATAACATTGGAATCTCACACCTACCTGTCGTCATTTATATAAAATATCGAAAGAAAAAAAAAATGCGGTTACTAAAATAAAATTTTGTTGGCTGTAATGATTAATTGAATTTATACTGTAAAATATTTTGTTTTATTTTAATAGTATTTGTTTTATAGCTCCTTACACAATAATTACGTTTCCCTTCCTGTTCGCCGTTATGTTCGGAGATTTGGGTCACGGAGCTATAATGGCACTTTTTGGGGCATGGATGATTTTGAAGGAAAAACCATTGGCAGCGAAGAAAACGGATAATGAGGTCTGTGAGCCAATTCTATTATTAATATAAAACTGTTTTTGAGATTTTTCTGAAATTGCATTGCAGAAAGATATCAATAGTATGCTTTTTATAATTATCATGGATAATGAGATGTTTATGAATTTATTGACAAAATATTTATTTATAAGTTGTTTCTTAAAATATTAATAATTATATTTGAAAATATTTTGATAAAATAAATTTTCATTTCATTCGACAGATTTGGAATATATTTTTGGTGGTCGTTATATCATCTTTCTAATGGGAGTATTTTCAATGTATACTGGTTTCATTTACAATGATATTTTCTCAAAATCGCTTAATATATTTGGCTCATCTTGGTCTACAAACTATAATTTATCAACGATATTAACAAATGATGCATTACAACTAAATCCAGCAAACAAAGATATGTATGATGGTACGCCATATCCAATTGGCTTGGACCCAGTATGGCAGGTGGGTTTAATTATATTTTCCTCATAAATAAAATGAATTTTAAAATTTTGAATTTATACATTTTAGCTATCTGCAAATAAAATTATTTTTCAAAATGCTTACAAGATGAAAATATCAATTATTATTGGAGTTATTCATATGTTGTTTGGTGTTTCACTAAGTCTTTGGAATTACAAGTATGTACTAGATACTTCACATAAAATGTTTCATATTATGCATACTAATGTCTTGCTTGTTTCAGCTATTTCAAAAATAAACTCAGTATTTTATGTGAATTCATTCCGCAGATTATATTTCTGACTTTCTTATTCTTTTATATGGTTTTGCTCATGTTTATTAAGTGGGTGACTTATTTTCCTACAGATAATGATAAAGGTACGATATCATTTATCCTGAAATATTCTTTTTAAAAAAATGTGTTGACTTTGTAATTTAAATATAGCAAAATATATTTTTTCTGCATTCATAATATTTTGCTTAACAATAATATTTTTTTTACAGAAATCCCAGTAAGCCCTCAGTGTGCCCCCTCCATTCTTATAACGTTTATCAATATGGTTTTATTCAAACCATCAACACATTCTCTGGCATGTGAAACTCCATACATGTACAGTGGTCAAGGGGGTTTACAAAAGCTCCTTGTTGTTTTGGCCTTGCTTTGTGTACCATGGATGTTATTTGCAAAGCCAGTTTACATCATGCAAATGCGGAAAAAACAAGCCTTGTTGGGAGCAAATCATCAACAAATGGCAACTGAAAACGGTGATGCAGAAGGAATGGGCAACCAACAGCAGCAACCGGCTCAGGGAGGTGGTCATGGCCATGATGATAATACTGAGATGAGCGAAATTTTTATTCATCAAGGTATTCACACAATTGAGTATGTGCTGGGATCTGTATCACATACTGCAAGTTATTTGCGTCTTTGGGCGCTGTCGTTGGCTCATGCCCGTAAGTATTATAATTTATATATAATGACTTTGTCAAAATTTATGTAAATTTGCAATTGATAATAAATTCTAATAAAATAATAAGGTCACATTAAATGAAAGCAAGACAATGCTTCTTAAAAGTAAATAGACATTTAATTAAATGTGACTGCATTATAAATAAAAATCAAAATTTATTTTACATAGTCAATAATACATGTATGTATGTTTCATTAATGTTTCCTAAAAGCAGCTGCATCAATTTCAATAATTCACAATATCAATATTGACTCGCGTTAATTAGTTTTCCGTGGCGGTTGAACGAGCCCTTTATTTTATAAACAATCTCAATATATCTGTTTTTATAAATAATTAAGTAGAAAAAAAAGTTTTATTATAAGACTAACTTTATAATTGTATAAAAATTAAAAAATTAAGCATTCGATTGATCTTAATTTTGTCTAATCCTTTCTGTGTACACAGAATTGAAGGTGTAATTTTTTTGAGCATCTATTCAAAATATTTTAGATACAATTTTAATAATTGAAATAGAATTATCGAAAGGATAGTATAACATTTTCTTAGTTTTACTTACAATTAGAATATTCAAAAATGTTAGATCTGAATATTTATTAATCATCGGAATTGCTTGCGCTTGCCATTTATGCTCAGTTTTAGATTTATTTTTAATTTTTTACAACTTACGAATTAGGAATATTATTTCTATAATGTGGAATTATCTGACAAATCTTAAGCAAAGCTAAATTCACACATTTCATATTAAAACAATAATTAATTTAATATAGAAAACATAATTTTGAATTATTTATTATAGAATTGGCAGAAGTATTATGGAATATGGTTATGAAGCAAGGATTAGTTTATGATGGCTGGGTCGGTGGAGTTGCTTTGTGGTTGGTATTTGCTTTTTGGGGTGTTCTCACTGTTGGAATTCTTGTGCTGATGGAGGGCCTCTCTGCTTTCTTACATACACTTCGATTACATTGGTATATTATATATTTAAATTATGAATATATATGTATGTATGTATATATATATATATATATATATATATATATATATATATCATAGCAACCAATTTATCAAAAATAAAAAGAAGTAAGGAAGATATTAAATATAAAAATTATTTATTCTGGACGTTTTCTCACTAAATATGTGCTTTTATCATTCAGTAGTTGTTTAGTTGTCAGTAGAAATACATAATTACAATTATGGTTGATGAGAAGATATGGTTCATGAACACAAATTGTGCCTTTTGAGATTTCCTCGAAAACCTTTCAAACAATTTCAAACATTTATACACTTCAAATTATTTTAAATAATTTGCGCTCGAATCGGTCGACCCGTTTTTTTTATATTGCTATCGATAGCTCAACAAAAATATCACATTTTTGCAAAAAGTTCTGAATCTTATCATGATCACATGTATAATAATCACCCGAACCTGTTCTACATAATTTTCAATGGTTGTTATATTTTTTCTTCGGAAGTTAATGAACATTTTCAAACAAAAACTTATTTTGTAGTAAACAATTGTATATTTAATTCATTTTTATAATTCTCGACCAATTTGAGTACATATTGGTTAAATGTATCTAAATTGTTGAAAGCTCTTGGAATTTTGGAAACCATTTCTGTATAAAGTCAGTTGATTTTTTATGTGAGGATAATTTGTAACTCATTCAGGAAGTCTTATATAGATCTCTGCAAGTTCTACAACCAGATTTTTTTTATATTCAGTTAATATTGTTTTTGTCTGATTCTGGAAATTAAATTTATTCGGAAAATCTGTAAGGGTTTTCAATACTCGTTTTCTAAACTATTATTATATTATAGTATTTTTGGGTTAAAGTAAAAATTATCAACAAACCAGCAAAAAAGAAAAAAAAAGAACGAAAAAGAAAAACAGTGAAGACGAAATATAAAAGTTGATAAATCACGATTAATATAATATTAATAAATCAGAATACGATTCAATTCTGGTTTTTTAAATTAATTGTATGTGAAAATTTCTTGTAAATATCATTTGGTTTTTAATTATTTTAAAAATTTGACAAACGTTTATTGTCCGGAATAAATATTTTTTAATAGTATTATTTTTCACTAGTTGTCTGGTAATATTTTCCAAGAGTATAGTGTTTTGAACCATATAAAATATCAGTGAATAACTAAGTTTCAATTGTGTGAAGCTAAATTGTTTCAATCTAGTTTGAAAATATTGGTTTGGATCTTAATTGATTTCATTTCAAACTTAAATTTTTATGTGTGTATATAAATGTAATCTTAACTTTTTAGGGTTGAGTTTCAAAGCAAGTTCTACTCTGGTTTGGGCTATGCGTTCCAACCATTTGCATTTGAGGCAATATTAGACACAGCCTCGACTGCGCCGGAGGAGTAATGTGTTTTTCCCTTTAGATAAATTTTTAGGAATCTAATGCTCTTTAGCTGAATGTTCATATAAATGTATAAAAAGTTGTTCATAATTCTTTATATAACTTGTTATTTTTTGTATGTATTTGTATTTTTTAATATTTAAGGCCCCAAAAACAGTGATAAGTTGTACTATAATTTCAAGATTTAATAACTATCTCAAACTGTATTATGTATATGTTAAATAAATTATAATCTTATTTTATTGCATTATATATAATTAGTAATTTTTGGATGATTAGAATTGTAGATTATATACATACTGAATTTGATTTTTCATTGTATTCAAGAATCCAAAAATATTAGCAAGTAAAAATTTCATCATTTGAAATTATATATCGAACTAAAATAGAAATATTTTTGAGTTAAATACATAAAATGAATATAAACATATTCTCATCTTAATATTTTCAAGAATGTTATGCAACTATCATAGTTATTCAATATTCTATGCAATTGTATATGCATAAAAATGTGCTTTTTAATTTTTTTCATGTACAAAAATCAAAAACATATCCACATGTGAAACATCCGAAAATATATTATGTCAATAAATAATTGACAAGGTACATGACATTAGCTTAATATTATTCCCTTCGCAATAAATTATATTCAAACAAATTTACTTTGTTCTTAATTAACACCCTTTCTATTATTGAGTATCATTGAAAAGATATTTATTGTATTTAAAGATAAATTCTAGATGTATAAGAAAAGTGATTGGAAATGTTCCTAGACAATATACTATGGGAAATGTTTTTTACTTATATTATCATGTATTTAAAATTAAACTTTATTTTTTCTTATTTATAATTTGCCTGAATTATGAAACATAATCGTTTGTTTTCATCTTTTACGATTGTTAAATACATTTCAGTTACTTGTAACTCCAAATCAAAAAGTAATTGTAAAGTAAACTTCTAGTTTAAATTTAATTTAAATCTTTCCACTCGCATGCCGCCGGCGACATGAAATGTCATCACTTAAAATTTCGGCAATTTTGTTTTTTTCAAGCTGTGTAAATAAACTAATAATTACCATTCCCAACTAATATCTTTTTAACTGTTTTTATATTTTCAGAATTGGTTCAGGATTTGTGTGGAAACATGAACGAAAAGTTATAGATGTATCACATCAAGGCGAGAACTGATCGGGTTTCATCGAATAGTTCTTAAATTCGCTTGAATCGAATCAAAGATTCATAATCGCTTGAAACGTCGAGAAAATACAAGATTTGCAAATCGGATTTTCTGGCAAAAACGAACTTCACCGTCACCAAAATTTTTCTTCAATGAACAAAGTGTATGAAAAGGCTGTATAGTTTGCTAAAATGTATTCGGCATGCATTTAGGTCGACGAAATTGCGAAAAAGCTATGAAAATGTTTCAAAAAAGTCATACGTCGTTTCAATTGTTTGTTTTAGATTCTTTACTTGTCAAATATAATATTTTTAATAGTTGTGTAGTGCTTTATTCAATTTGTTTAAAAGACTTTCACTTGGGAAAAAAACTTTTCTATTTGCTAATTAGTGTGACTTATCTTTGGATAAAATATATATGAACATCTAAAGCAATTCATCATGATGCCTACAAAATATAAAATATGCATTTTAGGTTCTGGAAATTGGTAAGAACACCCGTGTGGCTAAAAATTAATCTTTCTCATACAAATAATTTTTTCTAGGGCAACTGCAATTGCCAGAGTTATGGCAAAAAATTGTTTGAAGTCGCCAGTTTTTGATAAGAAGATTATAATGTATGTTTATGAAGAGATTGTTGATGACAAAAATCTATCAGATATTATAAATGAAACACATGAAAATGTGAAGTATTTACCGGGGTTTAAACTTAGTAAAAATGTGGTAAGAATACTATTTTTAACATAACTTATATGTGAGTAGATATATTGATGGTGAATCCAATTCGATCGTCAAAATTATTATAAAACTAACCATTACAATTACGAAGAAGCGGCGAGACTTCACATGAGACTATTTAACAAGAAGAATTTAAAACGAGCTAGACTCTTGGAATTGTTAGATAATAATTAATTAATAAGGAAGCGACTGACTAGTCTTTTCCAGAAGGTCTTTCAGCACGATATCTAACTGATTTCTTTGTAATGAGTTTTCAATTTTTTAAATCTGTTTCGGTAGAGCGCTCGAAACTAATCAGCGCATGCCCTTCTCGGTTTCATCAAACGGCTTCTAAATTTTTGAATTTCAAGCAGTAATTTTCGAGAAAACGTCGATAAAAGCAAAAATTGCATAAGCACACATACACATATTTTTGCAATATGAATAAACAAGACGTCAAAAAAATAAATAGTGTGAATAATTTTATTACTATAGTATATATTACAAAATATGAAATTTGATGCAATAAATGGTAAGCAACTAAAGCACTACGCTGCATTATCTTTTGGTGAATAATTAATAAAATAAGATTTGAATTTCGTTTTCTACTCATTTTTTCAGTCTTTTTACTCTTTCTGGAATGGCTTAGTGCAGATGGCAGTCTTTTTACAAATGTGGATATGTTTTTATTTTGTGTTCTCCATTTGTCATCTTCTTGAACCACTTTTACATTCACATATGTAGAAACTTTATATAGTTTTTACTGGTTTTCCTTAGATTCCATGTATTTGATTCCCAGAGAGACCCTAGTACATTAGTAATCATTTTCAACCATTTCTTTATTTCCCACCGATATTCTGTCATTTTCTATTTCAATACCCTCAGATTTGACACCGGTATTTGCATCATATTTGATTTCTCTGTATTGATTGATCTACCTTCGTTTAATAGCGTCGCTGCTATTCGATACCAGCCAACCCATGCTTATTTATCTATGCAACTCATCATCCAGATAATCGATTTTGCTGTTTTCGACTTTTTATTAGCCAATCTATCACAATATGTACGACGTTCATGTCCTTCTGTTAGATTTAGTGGTGAATTGGTTCCTGTATCCAATCTATAGATTGGATTTAACTATAGTTAAATAATATTTATTATAATAAACTTCTAAAATACAAGACAATTATTAAACCAATGTGGTCCTACGGTCTACAACTATGGGGTGCGGCCAGTAAATCAAACATAACTATTCTACAGAGGTTCCAGAAGAAAATTTTGAAAGAAATCTTGAACACTCCAAAATATGTTCCAAACTGGTTAATGGTTAATGCATCAAGATCTTAGAATTCTAACTGTGTGGAAGAAGAAATTAAACACTGCTGCTCCAGATACAAGTCTAAGTCGATATCCAAACCAACTAGCGTGCAACCTGCTCAAGTCTTTACTGCCAAAGCAATTCAAAAGAAGAACTTGAAATGATGTACTACATCAAACCACATAATATCTGGGAAGGTGCTATCGCAAATTAGCGATCCTGCACACGCTGTAAAAATCAAATTTAACTGTTTAAGTAGCTGAATGTACTGTGTGTATAGTTTGCTATGTTAATGAAACGAAAAAAAAATCATTCGGGAAGTTATATTATACGTATTTTTTACCATTTAAAGACCTTCTTGATTCAAGCTTCTTACATGTAAACTTTATATGAAAGTAATATTTTTTTTACAATTTAGATAAAACCCTATGTTTTTCACATATTCCTTTCGAAAATAAGGTAGAGCTGGTTTCTATTATATGGAATATTTTGTTACAAGAGTACTTACCTACTATACACACGACCATCATACAGCCATACATCCGTTTTCCTTGCTCAGAATGATTAGACCAATAAATTTTTAATATTATATTGTTTGGTTATCATTTTTCAGGTTGCAGTGGCCGATTTAGTCCTGGCAGCGCGCGAAGCAGATTTTCTGTTCTTTGCGTTACCGTACTGCTACTTGCGGACCGTCTGCTCCACCTTGCTCGGCATGATTAAGCCTACTGCAATTGGATTTTCTCTAATTAAGGGTTTTGATCGCAAAGAACAGGGCGGCATCGATCTGATCAGCAAAATTATTCGTCGATACCTGAGAATTCCTTGTCATGTATTGATGGGCGCAACAACTGCACGTAATAATTTAACTTATTAACTTCCCGTAGGGTAAGTTATTGTAATGGGCCGAAAATCGGAATTGAAAATTTTAACATTTCTCGACGTTTTGAAGGTTTCTGAACGTTTTGGCATACTTCAGAAAAAATGGATGTGTGTGTGTGTGTGTGTGTGTGTGTGTGTGTGTGTGTGTGTGTGTATGTATGTATGGATACAAATTTCCAGTCACGTTTTAGGGCGCACGGATCAACCGATTTGAATGGTTCAAAAAACATTCGATTCCTATTAATAGGGAAAAGAGCTATTCCTATTAATAGCTAAAGAGCTGAGTTTTTGGCAAAGGCAGGTCCAGCCGTTTCGGAGATACGGAGCAAAGAGTGCAAAAAATAGAAATCGAATTTTTGAGAGAACGGAGTATCTGATTTGAATGATCTAAAAAACATTCAATTAGTAATGATTAGAAGAAGTGCTTATTAGTTTTTGGCAAAGGCAGGCCCAGCCATTTCGAAGATACGGAGCTAAATATGTAAAAAATGGCAGTTTTTGAGAGAACTAAGGGTCCGATTAAAATGATTCAAAAAACTTTCTGCTTGTCTTAACAAAATAATTGATTTTGGAATTTTTTTTTTTTTTGTGTATCGAAAATATTTCAGATTTTATTTTTAATTCTGACTATAGTTCTAATATACTTTACAAATAATTTCAACTCTGCAATTCAGTTTATATAATTCTCATAAATATTAGACAATGTTACAATATTTATAATAATCTATTTTAAAACATTCAGTATTCCTCGAACATTTCGTTACGGTACGGGAAGTTCCAGCAATTTGTCTTAAGGCACGATGCCATAATTGCCTCAAAACAGAATTCCACTTACAGCTAGTTTAGATTGGTTTTGAATAAAAATTATGTGCGAATCTACTCGTTTTTTAAGCTTAGAAGAAAAACACTGATTTATTATTTAGAAAATGTTTGCACATGGTTCATGCTTATAATTAAAGTAAATAGATTTTACCCCAAATTGGACTATTTTTTTCGAAGATATTTTTTTCAAATATATCACTTTTACTCTATTAAAGAAAATTGGTTTAATAAGTGGATCTAATTATTATAAATTTTTACAGTAAAACAATTTGTTGGCCATTACAATATGGTACCTACTAATATTTATTTCTTTTTTAGTAGACGTGGCGGAAGGACGTTTTTGTGAAGCAACAATTGGTTGCCCTGACGAAAAGACAGGAAACTTAATTCTGGAAATAGTACAAACTGAGTTTTTTCGGTTGAAAGTAGTTTCTGATGCAGATTGTGTGGAATTATGTGCAGCACTTAAGGTATTTTATTTCAAATGAAGATCGACTAAGTCGTTTCTGGCATTTTTTTATTTTTGACAAATTTGATGAACTTTTTTATAGTGATGGACTGCGTGGTCTTAACTAAGATCCTTATACACAGTGATATGAGTGCTCACGAAGGCACATCATTATAAAATATCTTTAATTACACAGCTTGCCTTAACGCAAACTATCACTTACATTTAATGTAAAAAATATGTTTTTTTTTAGTTGAGAAATATGATCAATACGGCTCAAAATCTTTCGCTAATCGTATTCGTATGGAATATAACTCTATATAACTCTAATGAAGTCATATAATTATTCATAAATTTTTAAAGTTTTACTCGAATCGTTAAAATGTCTAATGGGAATCTTATGGGTGTTGATGTCTTTTCTGTAAGATTTTAGAAATTCTCAGTGATTAAATCTGTATCCAATTTTACTCTTAATTAATAATTATTTTTTATGCGGTCTTTGAATGATACTTACATCAAAGTTAACAACTACTTATAATTAGTATTTTTTATATATTCAAATTTTATATTTCATTGAATTTCTGGAGCTAATATAATGAAATAAACTAGTGGGGTGCATGGCATCGTGCCTTAAGGCAAATTGCTGGAACTTCCCGTACTAAAAATTATTTTTTTTAAAAAGATTAACATTTTGAAAAAAATTTACTCTGAAAAAAATAGATTTTTGAGAAACTATAAATTATTGACAAAAATTTACTTTTTTTTGAAAAAAAAGACTTTGAAGAAATATTTATTTTGAATTATTTTGGAAATTTTGAACCTTTTTTCAAAGCAATCGCACTGCTTTAACTGCATAGAGACAAAATATCGAAGCGCGTAAGCGCCGCGTCTCCGTTTAACGGATAAACATTGGTACGGAAGCCATAAGAATGTAAACAAAATTTATACTTATTGTTAAAATCTCTATAAAATATCTGATAATTTGATGTGCATATGTCTAATGATCATTTTTGACCGCCAAATTTCAAGACCACTTGAACATTTTGGCATTGTGTGTTGTGTAGTATATGTTTTGTATGGGTACAATTTTTGTCCAGGATTTTGGGTGCACGGGTCAATGATTCAAAAAATATTCGATTTGTATTGATTGGGAGAGTTGCTGATTAGTTTTTGGCCAAGGCAGTCACATACGTTTCGAAGATACAGAGCAAAAAGTGCAGGAAAAAGGAATTTTGCGGGAACGGTGCATCCGATTAGATTGATTCTAAATACATTCGATTTGTATTGACGTTGAGGTGTGCTGGTTAGTTTTTGGCAACAATAAGCCCGTTTTCTAGGTACAGAGTAAAAAGTTCTAAAAATTTCAGTTTTTGAGAAAGCGGAGCATCCGATTTTGATAATTCAAAAAACATTTTGCTAATAAATGTTGACAGAGTGAAGGAACGATTAGTTTTTGAGGAAGCCATTTTTTCAAACTTTAATCTTTTTGTAATTTAATTTTTTTTAAATATTGGAAATGATTTCGATTTTAATTTTAATTCTAGTTCAAATTTTGAAGCTCAATATACTTAAAATGAATAATATTAACTTTGCAATTCAGTTTATATAATTTTTTAGGAAGAATGTGATATAAGGTCCTTCATACTATCTTCATACCTTCATAACTCCACTTTATTGAGTTTTATTTACTTTTCATATAAACATGTATCAACGTCGTCGTCCAATTTATGACCTTCTATTTCATCTACAAAATACGAATAATGAAAGTTACAGTATCGTAATATAATTATAGTAATATAATTATCTATTTAAAATCATTGACAATTCTTCGAATATTTAGAGCAATTTGCCATACACCACACTAGTTTTTAATGTGATTATTAAAAGTTTGATTTTATTATTTAGTAGTATAATATTAATATTTATGAATGTAATGTGACTTATCAAACATTATAATGTCTATATATCTATATATAGATCTATTTATAAAAAGCATTTCACAGAATAAATATATGAATGAGGAAATGAATATTTGAATAAAAGTATATTTTGCTTGAAATAATTGGTGCAATATAACCAATGGGTATATAATCATATTCAACAATAATAAAAAGTTGAACGTTTTTGCTCTGTTATAGCATGATATAGTAGATGACAGAGAATCAGTATATAATCTCTTCTCTCTTCAAATACCATGTTCCGTTCTATTCTACATTCACATACGTACTTTGTATACAGTACACGCACTCATACTACGACGAAAAGTTGAAAAACGCGATTTTAAAACAAGCGTTGCTAGCACACGTTTCTCCAACTTTGGTCGATATTATGTTTGCCCGGATGCGGTTCTCGTTTATGCTAGAATATAGCTTAATAGCTTCTGTTTACAAGAGGCGGAAGTAGTCTTTATATACAAATGCCGCAAACTAATTTATGAATGTAGATCATCGTAGAGCACTATCAGGCGGCTAAATTTGAAGTATCATAGTTGCAGATGAGCTACTCGTATCTGACAATGAGGAAAGAACTCTCTTCTTAGTGTTAGCAAGTACAAATGATAGATGCTTCCATACATAAATATAATGGATGCATGGTGTTGCCATGGAACACTACATTCATGAAATATGCGCCTCGAAATAAACAATATACTATGGTCCCAAGTACGTGAATTAGTGTATTAGATGCGTTTTCAACAACGTTGGATTACAAGTTTGACATGCCCCTTCGTTGACGCTGGAACAGTTTCAATTTATAGGGGTCACAAAATAACGAGGGGTATCGCACGGAGATAGTTCAAGTTTAAAGCAGGCACGGCAAAAATACGTAAATAAAAAACTTGGGCGCTGAAATGCTAAATGTTAAGTTAATAGAAAAACAGTCTCAAGCAAATGCAACTTTTTTTTAGTTTGAGACAACATTTAAACATTTTTTAAGAATTTAAATTTAGAAAATTCCAATATTTATAAAAATAACTAAGGAAGTCAGATCTATTTTAATTTACTAAACATTAAAAATCTCATTGAAATTTGGAATAAAATTGAAAATTTTCAAAATATTGAGTTTTTTTTAGAGTTTGCAAATTATATATTTTAAAGTACTTGAAATTTTACACTCGCAGATTTCAAACGGTTTAATTATTAAGGTACCCTAGGGCAAGTTATAGTAATCGCAAAAAAATCGAAAATAATAGATTTTATTTTTACATACATGTATACGTTACAAGCTTCCTGAATAATTCGGCATACCTTAAAAAAATGATGAATTTGTGTGCGTGTGTGTATATTGGCAAAGGCGGGTCCAACAAAAAGGGCAAAAATTAACCGTTTTTGAGATAATGAAGCATTTGATTAGAATGATAAAAAAAATTTGATTGCTATTGGTGGGGACATGTGCTGATTAGTTTTTGGAAAAGGCATTCGCAGCTATAGCAAATATATTTTGTAGATACGAAGCGAAAAGTGCAATAAATAGATATTTTTGGAGAATGAAGCATCCGATTAGAATGATTCAATAAACATTCGATTCGTATGGTAGGGAGACATGCAAGCTAGTTTTCAAAATTAATATTATTTTATAAAATTATATTATACTAGCTGTACCCCTTCACGCTTTGCCGTGATTTAGTTCAAATTAAAAAGTTGAACAAAGATGTTCAAAAATTTACCTATTCAACAATTTGTCTACTAATTTACCTATAAACCCGTTTATCAATCTACCATTTTACCGGCCTACAAATTTATTTGTCATTCCATTCTACATGTTTACCAATCAACCTGTCAGCCTGTTTATTCGTCTACATATTCGCCTATCTACCAGTTTTTCTCTCTACCATTTTACCCGTCCATCAGTTTACCTTTATAAATTCTCTAATTCACCTTATTTATTGACGCATTATAAAACAATTAAAACTCAAATTAATTCTACTTAAGAATCATCCTGGGACATCAACTAACATTTAAAAAAAAGAATTGGCCATATTGGTCCAGGCGTTATTGAGTTATGCGCTTATCAACACATTTTGCGATTCATTTTTATATTATAGATAATATTTCAAAATTAATATTATTCGAATTTTGATATTCAAAAATATACAAAATTTTGAATTGCAAAAAATCTAAAACTTATTTAATATACTTGAAATTCATTGATCATTGATCAATTTTTGATTATTTTTATTCCTCGAATATTCAATTACAGTAGCAATTTGCTTTAAGGCACAATGCCATGCACCACTAGTTTTTATCTTTATCTATAATATGCGTTTGAAACGGAAATTTCAATCAATTTGCTTAAGATCGGAATTTTATACGCCATTAGCAATTCAATTACTTTGATACCATTTTGTCAATTGGTTGCAATTGGAATTGAATAAATAAATATATAACTTGAACCAGCTCTTGGCAACCGTTGACGTCAACAGAATGCGACAGACAGAGCGCGAGCACAAGCTATATGTTTTCTCTCACGTTCTGTTTTGATGCTCCACAGGGCATAGTAGCGTGCGCGGCTGGTTTTGCTGACGCCTTGGGACAGGGCCAATGCACGAAGGGGGCCATACTGCGGGCTGGCATACTGGAAATGATTCGCTTCATTGATGTGTTTCACCCGCAGAGTCGTCTCTCCACGTTCTTCGAATCGTGCGGACTTGCCGATCTGGTATCGTCGTGCAATAGTACGTACAACCCTAAGCTATTTTACCTTTTTCTAAATAAATGGTTTAGAGAATAAATAGAATATGAGTATAGGGTAACTGATTATTGAATACGTTTTATTATTTGCATTATCACAATAATTGTGTAGGTAAAATTTTGGTAAAGTGTGAGTCCAAACCGTTCGCTTTTAATATAAAAACTTTGCTTTCTGGAGAGATATTCGAGATATGGCACATACTTAGATACTTTCACTTGAAATTAAAAAAAGCATTATTAGACACCGCTTGTACAAATTCTTTTAAGAACTATTTCTTAACAAATTGAATAGACAGTTTGAATAGACCCTTGGCATCTATTTCTCATCTGCAGATAAAATGCATCATGATTCCAAATAATTCTTCTAATGATGATCAACAGTGATTATTTTCATTTTGTTTAAAGATTAAATAGTTTCATTAATTATAGTTAAAGAAAATAGTTATGGCCATGTTTGCTTCGTAAGTCTGGTGAAATAAGTTTTGTTTTCCATATGTTAAATTAGTTTATGCACTAACAGTTTTATCTATAAGCATTTATACTTATACTATAAAAAGTATATTTAAGCAATACTAGACGTCATAATGAATAGACGTGGTTTGAATAGACTTATCGGCATCTGTTTCTCATCAATATTCAAAATTAAAAAAAAAAAAAAAAAAATGAATAATGATTTTAAATTAATCCTCTAATCATTATCTCAGTGATTATTTTGAGTTTCAGTAATTAAATTCAATACAATTAGTTATAGCAATGTTTACTTTACAAGTCTAGTGCAATAGAAACCAACATCAGTATTGTGTAGTTTATGTTAGCACGTTAAAACAGTACAGAAATATATAGCTCTTCCGCTTGAAATTATGTAAAGTAAATTCGGTTTCAACAGTTATATCTTGAACATATCTAATGTCTGCGATTTTTCTCTATTGTTCTCTATATTTATGTAGCCCTAACTACTACGATACGATAATGATCGCAGCCGTCTCACTACCTTCGGTTCTAAATTCGTGACCGTTCTCTGCTTTCGTTTGTGAAGATTTCTTGTTTCCATACTACTCTTCACATGTTGAAGCATAGAAGTTTGTATTTTCTTGTCTCACAGCCAGGGGAGTTAACTCAGCCCTCGGAAAGTTTTAAACTTTTATTGATCGCCGGCTTTTATTGATATTGGATATATTAAAACAAAAATCCTATTTGCTAATTATATGTTTTCTCGACGTTTCTAGTCATTCTAAATCGAATGAGACCAAATATGGAAAGTATGTATGAATATGTGTGCATAGAGCCTTTTCTACTTTTCGTCAACGTTTCCTTAAAAACGGCTGGATTAATTTCAAAAATTTAAAAGCCATTCGATGTATCTCGATAAGGACTATCGTTAGTCAGCGACGATAATGGGCTAAGCCGTTTCTTTGTAATTAGAAGAAAAGTCAAACCGCAATTTTGAATCGATTTTAGAATCGAATAAAGTTTTTGGTAAAGATCGTCCTTTAATGTTGAAAAAATTTTGCTTGGTAATTTTGGATGAAACTTTGTATAACGATAGATTTCGTATTCTGAAATAACGTACTAAAATATTATAGGTTTACGATAGTCAGTTGTTAATTATTGTTGATTAAGTCGATTATTACATGTATCGGAAAGTTGTTGTAACTTACCTTAAGCCAAAATGCTACTGATTATTTTATTTGCTGGAATAGTTGGTCGCCACAGGCGTCTTTCTGAAGAATTTGCCAGAACTGGTAAGACAGTAGAAGAACTGGAGCAGGAATTACTGCATGGAAATCGGCTACAAGGCCCCCATATCGCCAGAGAAACTTATAATGCAATTGTTCACGAAGATTGTGTTAACAGGTAAAAGTTGTAAACTATAAAAGCATACAAAATTATTGTTATTGGTTCTGTGTTTTTATATAAAAAACTTAGCTTTTAGTGTATACGATAAAGGAAAATTGAAAATATATCTGCATATATTGAATAGTGAATATTAAAACAACATTTTCGTTTTTTTGGTTCAACTTACTAACATATTACAAATGTATAAGTGAAAATAAATTAAAAATCATAAATCTGTAAATTGTAAAAACCAAAAATATTAATATTATTACTTGTTCCAGAATTTAATTTTTTTAGAAAAATTATATTTTTCAAAAAATTAAAAAAATATTTTCCAAATTGTTCAAAAATTTCAATTTTTTTTAAGTTCAAAAATATGAATACAGTCTCAGACAATTTCTTAAAAATTATAAAAAATATTATTTTCATACTGCATATTATAAAATGTATAAGTAGAAACTAATTAAAATTCATAAATCCGTTAACTTTTAAAATTGATTATATGTTCCAGAATTTAAATTTTTCAAAAAAATATATATTTTTCATAAATAAAAAAAAATGTTTTTCTTGTACTGCAGAAAATATCAGTTTATTTCAAGTTCAAAATAATGAACACAGTTATTTGTTCAGTATATGTTATTCTAATTTAATTTCTTCATATATATAATTTAACACATCATTTTATTCTGAAAATTTCAATGCGTTTTAGATGTTTCTATAATATGCTATATTTTGCTCTCTAATCGACTTGAATAAGTTACTACAACAGCAAATTCAAGAGATATGATATAATCTATTTCAGTTTTCCATTATTTGTGACAGTCCATAAAATTTTCGAAAAGGAACTCCTTCCAGATGAAATTTTGAGAAGTATTGCTAGCCGCACTGAACATATGTGAGTAAAATAAATTATTCAAATGTATTGAAATCAGCATTTCAGTTTTGAATTCTAAATATGTTGCAGATTTGCGCCACGTCATATCGCCATGTTTTGAATAACAACAAAAGACTACGATATGCGATTAGCTGAATTCGTAATTTTATTTTTATTATTCATAGAATGCTTATATTTAATACACACAAAGCTATTTTGAATAAACATTCGCAGCAGTATTTTATTTAAATTTTAATCGTATTATTTTAGTATAATGAATACTATTTAAATTTCAAGAATATGCAAGTATTGTTTATAGATCGGAAAACCTCTAATACTTCTAACATATGAAAAGTTTAAAATTCAATTACCCACTGTAAAACAATGAGTAAAATTTACATTATTTTCTGATTATTATTGTAAATTTTTAACTTGTAAAAAAACTGGAAATTATACAAATTCAAGAAAAAAATATTTTCAAAACTTGATATTTTGAACATATAAGAAAATTATTAACTTATTTACAAATTAAATTTAAGTTAGTTAGGAACGATTAATAAAATAGTTAATTTATTTTAAATTTTATAGTCAAGTTATAAATTATTTTATTCATTAGCTCGAAACTATGAATATCATTATAAGTAAAATTATAATGAATTTCTAATTTCTGAAAAACAACAGTACATGTGAATTGTTAAAAATGTTAATTGCTAAAGGCGAGCTGAGCCTTGTTTGATAAACTTCTCAGGTTCAAACAATATAACTCATTGTATTATCTTTTATAAGTTTTGGTGAATGTTTAATTTAATTTTTAATGACTGTTTGGTTTTAAACGATTTTTAATTTCCACATTTAAAAAATAAAAAATGAATTTTTACAAGTCTTAAACTAAGTGGTACATAGCATCATTCCTTAATGTAAATTCTTGGAACTTCCCAAATCGTAATTTAAGATATCAAAAATATTGTAAAGTTTTTTCTGAAAATCATAATTATTTTTTAACATTTTTGATTTTTTTGAAAATTTTGGAAAAAATCGATTTTAATTTTTTTTTTTGAAAATTTTGTATTTTTTGAAAAGAGTTTGAAAGGAATTGGATACAAAATTTGTCCTTATTATTAAAATCTCTATAAAATATCTGATAATTAGATGTGCATATATCAAATGATCAATCTTGACAGCCAAATAATTTTTTTAACTTCTTCTATAACTGATAGACCTGCACTTCGTCATGGAAATCGGACGCTACGTCTTCTCAGAAACTGAATTGCCATTTTGACACTTTTTGCTTCGTATCTTCAAAACGGCTCGATATGCCTTGGTCAAAAACTAATAAGCACGTTTCTCCAACAATAGGAATGAACTATTTTTTTTTGAATCAATAAAATTGGCATATATAAACACATGCATACATACATCCGCTTTTGTTCTAAGATAAGCCAAAATGCTCAGAAGGTTTTAAAGCGTAAAGATATACAGACATTTTCATTTTCGATTTTTTTGAGATTACAATAACTTAACTAAGGGGAAATTAAAAACAAGTTTTATTATAAATAGTTTTGCAATTCGAATTACTGCAATACACAAATAATGATATATTGTTTAAGATTTATACTAAACTAGTGATGTATGGCATCGTGTTTTATGGCAAATTGCTGGTACTTCCCATACCGTAACGAAATGTTCGAGGCATATTAAATGTTTTCAAATAGATTATTATAAATGTTGTAACATTGTCTAATATTTATAAGAATTATAAAAACTGAATTGCAAAGATAAATTTATAATTTGTTTAAAAGATATTAGAACTTTAGTCAGAATTAAAATTAAATTCTGAATTATTTTCGATATACAAAGAAAATTTTTTTAAAAAATTGAAACAATTTTTTTTTTAAAGCGATGATTTTGTTAAAACAAGCAGAAAGTTCTTTGAATTATTCAAATCGGACGCTTAGTTCTCACAAAAACTGCCATTTTTTGCACATTTAGCTCTGTATCTTCGAAATGGCTGGGCCTGCATTTGCCAAAAACTAATCATTACTTCGCTCAATCATTACTAATTTAATGTTTTCTGGATCATTCAAATCGGATACTCCGTTCTCTCAAAAACTCGATTTGTATTTTCTGCACTCTTTGCTCTGTATTTCCGTAACGGCTGGACCTGCCTTTGCCAAAAACTAATCAGCACATCTCCCTATCAATAGGAATCGAATGTTTTTTGAACCATTTAAATCGGTTGATCCGTGCGCCCGAAAACGTCGACGAAAAAATGCCGACATACAAAACACACACATCCATATTTTCTGAGGTATGACAAAATGTTCAGAAACCTTCAAAACGTGAAGATATGCAAAAAAAATATTTTTGATTTTTGGCCCATTACTGTTACTACCCTACGGGAAGTTAAAAAAAACATTTAGCCAAATATAAATATTTTAATATAACCAGTTAAATACGGTAATTTTATTGAAATATTTATATTTTTTACAAAGTATTAACCGAATACATCGATATTCAGTTAATACCCAAACCAAATTTATCGGTTGATATTTATGTAATAATTTTATAGCATTATTAATTTCAAAAATCTACCAAAATTACCTGTAAAAATAATATTTACATTCTTTTAGTTAAAGTGATGGAATGGTTTCAGTTCCATTATTTACATATATAGCATAACTTATAAATAAGTAAATAATCGAAATGCCTCATGCTTAAACAAACAAAAAATTCAACAGCAAGAACGTTAAGCATAATATCTTAATGCTAATTACACCAAAATGCTTTTATCCGTTTCTAACACGAAGATAATTTACTTTTTATACATAAAAAGTTTACATTCTTTCATCTAATCGCTGACAGTGATAAAATATACAATTCTGTAATATCATTGTAATTGTATGCGTGCTGTGTAGAGCTGTTCAGAATTACAAGGTCGGTATGAGAGTTTGAATGTATTTATGATTATATATAGTAGTCCCCCCCATATAACTGCACGCTCGTCGTGTATACTGTATACCGCAGCCGGCAACACACTTTCAGAGATCGGGCGAAACCATTCCGCTGGCGAGGGGAGTCCGCACCGTTATAACTTTCCGAGTTATCGTTCGATAAAGGCGAAGCTTTCGTTCTTTGACAACGAAGCAGACATACCATACCCACGAGTGTACCCTGGAATAGGGATTTTAACATTCAGCTTTAATACAATGCAGGTCGTTCAACCGGATGTCGGTTGATGGTATTAATTGTATTAATTTATTTTCATGGTTAGATCAGTAAAACAAACTGTATACATATTTAATATAATACTAATTTAAATTCTTCAGTTTTTTTACTAATTATGCTAATTACTAATTCTGAAACATGGGCTAATGAAGTACTGTCTTAATGTAAATTTTTATTTTTGGAAAATTTCATAAATAACGTTCATTATGCTAATTGTTTCACACGGCTTTTCGATACAATATAAATTGCAGAAATAAATATTATTAATTTCCCGTAGAGTAGTTATATAAAGCAAGAAATCGAAAATGAAATTTTTT